TTCCATGGTGAATTAAGGTTATTATCAATTTAATTCCATATTTGTGATGTTTCATTTTGTTTTAATTGATATTTTGACTATGTAACAATTTGTATGATTTTGATAATTCTTAAGTGTGACATAAGACTTTCCTAGTCAATGTTCTCTATGTCGTTTGTGTTATTAATGTTTTAAGCATCAGTATTATTGTTTTAATTGTAACTTTAATGTAATATGAAAAATTAATTGTTTGATTCAGTTTATGTTCTTGATAACTGTTATTAGATTGACATATTCCAAATACGTTATTTCTTATATCTGCATGTTAATGTCAATTTATTTACTGTAACTTTAATGCTATTGGTATTGATTCATTTAGTTACCATTATGATGTAACTTTATTTATATCTGTGATGTTGTTTACAGTTTCAATGAAGATGGTGAAGTAAACCCGAAACGTTTGAGTTCCACAATTAAAGCAAAGAAAATCAACACATTTGTTCAACCCTAAGAATGTTATTTCTGGCAGCGGTAGTGCTAAGATTTATTATACTGCTCCGCTTCCCACCTGGAAGTTCTCCGACTATATATATATATATATATATATATATATATATATATATATATATATATATATATATATATATATATATTATGTATGTATGTATGTATGTATTTTTTTTAGGGAGGGGGTGAGGGGTAACAGCATACTTGCTCATTTTTTTTAACTTGTAACTTTGAAAACACGGTTTACGAACATTTTAATTTGAAGATAGAAATCGATAGATGCATTTCATAATCTGAACTTATCTACATGCTAAACTTGCTCTCTCTCTCTCTCTCTCTCTCTGCTCTCTCTCTCTCTCTCTCTCTCTCTCTCTCTCTCTCTCTCTCTCTCTCTCTCCTCTCTCTCCTCTCTCTCTCACCCTCTCACCCTCTCCCTCTCTCTCCCCTCTCCCCCCCCCTCTCACCCTCTCCCTCTCCCCTCTTCCCCTCCCTCTCCCCCCTCTCTCACACCCCCCTTCCCCTCTCCCTCCCCCTTTCTCTCTCTCACCCTCCCTTTCCCTCTCCCTCCCCCCCATCTCTCTCTCCCTCTCTCATCCTCCCTCTCCCTCTCTCATCCTCCCTCTCCCTCCGCCTCCCTCCCTTTCCTTCCGCCCCCCCTCCCCCTTCTCTCTCTCCTATCAAACGTCCAGAATGCAATCTGACTGAACGGCCTTGAAACGAGTGTCTGGCGTTTCGTGTCCGGGTTTCCGTTCGCCGAGAAACGCGAACCTGGAGAGAGCGCCGTGGAGCTCCTGCAAGATGATCCCGTTGCAATGTCTCTCGCAGTTCGGGGTTCCGTTTAGACGCGTGGCGTGCTGGCTGCTTTGGGGATGGGAAAAGGCATTGATTTCGGAGGTGTGTATGTGTGTGTGTGTGTGTGTGTGTGTGTGTGTGTGGTGTGTGTGGTGTGTGGGTGTGGTGTGTGTGTGTGTGTGTGTGTGTGTGTGGTGTGTTGGGTGTGTGTTTGTGTGTGTGTGGTGTGTGTGTGTGTGTGTGTGTGTGTGTTGTGGTGTGTGTGTGTGTGTGTGTGTGTGTGTGTGGGTGTGTGGGTGTAGTGTGTTGTGTGTGTGTGTGTGTGTGACCGTGTGTGTGTGTGTGTGTGTGTGTGTGTGTGTGTGTGTGGGTGTGTGTGTGTGTGTCTGTGTGTGTGACGTGTGTGTGTGTGTGTGTGTGTGTGGGTATGTAGTGTGTGTGGGGTGGCGTGGTGGGTGTGTGGTGGGTGGGTGGTGGGGGTGGTGGGTGTAGGTGTGTGTGTGGGTGGGTGGTGTAGGTGTGTGTGTGGTGGATTGTGTTATCCTTGGATGTACGTGCAGTGTGTGTGCTGTGTGTTTATATGTGTCCTATGCGGATACGTGTGTGTGTGTGTGCTTGTGTTTTAATGTGTGTCCTATTGTAAATTCGCGTGTGTGTGTGTGGTGGGCGTGGTTGTGTGCTTTATT